ATATATTTATATATAACAAAAAGTACCGATAAGAATACCGTTAAAGTACCGAATCGATAAGCAGTATCGGTAAGAGTAGTAATACCGTTAAAACCTTAACTATACCCATCCCTACCTAGTATGAGGCTTTTTGACCTCTGTCACTGTTAATCAACATCATTTTAAGTGTCAGGTTCTGTAGTAACATCACAGATTTCCCTCTGAATATCGATTGTTTTGATTTCACTTATAGAGGCTGTGGTTGAACCTTTCAGCAGCGCACATACGATCAGCATTTATTTTTGACTGTATCGTTGTTTCTAAAGCTGTAACTGTAGTGAAGATGTTTTTGCTTACTTGTTTTGACATCTGTAACATTTGTGCAATTATTGTCAAATTAGATTAATGTATTAACTAAAGGGCTAAAAATATTGCATTGTGAGGTACACTACCATTCAAAGTTTGGACTCAATAAGATTTTAAATTAATGCATTTATTATATAGAAAATATGCATTTCATGGATCAAAAGTCACAGTAAAGACATTCATAATTTTACAAATGATTTCAGTTTCAAAAATGCTGTTCTTTTAAACTTTGTTCGTCAATCCATGGAAAAAAACAACAACTCGGCAACTGGTTTTAACCTTAATAAGATGTTGTTGTTTTTTTTGAGCGGCAAATCAGCATATTAGTATAATTTCTAAAGAATCATTTGACACTGAAGACTTAAAATTGTAATATTATTTCACAACATTTCTGTTTTTACGGTATTTTTGATTAAATAAATTCAGCCTTGGTGAGACTTCTTTCAAAAAAACAAAAACACTTAAACATTGTACCAACCTCAAACGTCTATGCTAAAAATAAAACGTGTATGCTTTTTTTTTTTTTTTCAAGCATTGTTTAACTTCAAAATTGCCTAAATGGTCTAAATTGTCCATGGTCAATGCTATGTACATTACAGAGAGATAACTCCACACATTAATTTAACCAAATACTTCCTTCTCAAGATTTCACAGTATTTCAGATAAAGGCTTGTGTAAACATGTTTCCATGTCGAGGTTTGGTTGTGAACCTTGTAACCTCCATCCATAATAGGGGAGATATTAAAAACAGTTTTATCAGCACATCTGCCCCTATGCAACAGGTAGCACTGCTGGCAGATCAGGAAGTGTTTCTCCTGAACGAAGGTGTTTTGATAGCGTGCAAAGGCAGCAGCATTTCTCTTGTCCTAACATGCTGCTGAACCCATTTACCTCATTCGTTGGAAGGATTTATGGTTTTTATTTTCATGCACATTGCACTGCCATGTCAAGTCCTTAGGTAGCTAGGCAAGTATTGCAAACGCTTAATGGCGCGTGTGCGTCGCTAGCAAGAACGGACTCACTTTTCTGACTAAATGCCTCTGGAATGTCATCCATTCCCCTCTTATTTGTTCATTTGCACCTGTGTGTGTGTATCTTAAGGATTATTGGTGTGCTGCTAAGCTTTGTTTATCTTCTTTAAGCCAACCTGAGAGCTCTGCTTTGATCTGGGCTGCCAGATTTGAAAAAGTATCTTTTTGGCACAGGCTTTTTCCGCCCATGTGTATTTATCCGTTTGTTTGCTCTCTAACCCGAGCAAAATCCAAATAAACCTTGCAGCATGCATGTCTTAATTATCTCCAAATGTAATGCCATCTTTATTTTATTGCCAAAATTATTTTTATGATTCAGAAAAAATAGTGGTGCCGATCAATCTTTTTTCATTGTTTTAAAATAAAATTAATTACATAACATATTTAATTAATCAAATGAATTACATGTAATCAATATGCACTGTTGTGCACCTTTGTTGTGTTTTTTGGTGAACTGATGAAACATTGAAAATATGTTGTCCCCTAGAAGTTTCAGTGGTTGAAAAATTGACTGTTGTATTTGGTTCTACTAGTATGTCAAATTGAAATAATTCTGCAAATATGTATAATAAATTCTGCCTAACCCTAATGTTCATAAAAGAACAACCGTTGTGAGCTGACAGATCTGTTTGATCTTTATCTTACAGCACTGAGTGTGTTGAGAAGAAGGAGGACCCGGATGTGTTCTTCTGCTGCTGCGAGGGCAACATGTGCAACGAGAAATTCTTCTATAACCCTGACATGCAGCCAGTTCAGAGTAAGGCTCCCCTCAGCGACACAAACAGCAAAGTCTTTAAGGGTATTGGAAGTTCTTCAGTTATACCCCTTCCTCTGATGTAGTTGTGCTGTCAGTGTGAAACCCTCTGTCTTCGTCTCCTCATAACCTGTATTAGCTCATAACCTCATTATCAAAATCATCAATTAGGGCTGGGCGATATGACGATATTATCGTATATCGACGATGTCGTAAGTATCGCGATGTCGATGTCAACAGTCAGGTAACAGACGATTATCAACATTATTGGGAAAAAATGATAAACCTAGTAAGTTGCAAAAAATATTTTACATAGTCCCAATAGTCACCATACAGGTCTTTTTTGCATGCAAGAATGAAATAATTTAGTAGGAGGGTTGGGAATCGAAAAGCTATTCCAATTTCGTAAATCAGATCAGATGCGTAAGGTCAGGAATCAAATTACTTGTTATAAAATTACATTTAGATTCTGCTTCTCGATTTCTGTATGCACATTTATTGTGATTTCAAAAGATTCAACTGCAAGAAAACGAAATAGAACTCACTTCTGCACTCGCGCGATGTTTTCTGTGCTGCGCACGCACAAAAGCCGCCTCTTATATACTCAAACACTGGACTGAGCTCTCTTTCTCGCATTCTTACACATTCGAATGGACCTGCTTCTAAATAAATAAAGCAGTTACTTTTATTTCGTTAAAAAAGGGCCAAAAGGGACCTCTGAACTAGGCTACCAGAAAGGGAAAAAAAACCTTTACGTTTTTTGCTCAGAATTCGTTTTTAATCCCTGCATGATTTTAGTCATACATGATAAATATCAAATACGTTATAGCTTGACTACAAGTTTAAAAACAACGCTGCAATTGTTATAATCAAGGAAATTAAACTTACCATCATGAAATGTCTACACAGGCGATAATTACAAAAAGAAAGCGAAACGTCAGAAAATAGGCATATTTTATTTAAGGCATATTTTAAGACATTATTATATGACATCAACATGCATTTATCATTCTTACAATCACCGCCAGAATGTCCAACTTCACCATGATGAACTTAAAATTGGGTGGGTTCTATTTTCCTCAACAGTTCTCCTCACAAAATGAAATTCATTTCAAAAATAAATTTGATAAGAACAGAGTTGAATTATTAGCAACACCAAAATAACAGCAAAGCTAATGTTTTCTGTTAGTTTAAGCACAAACTAAGAAAAGTAAAACCAAACTTTGTGGCAATAGTTAAGACCAAACTGAACATGGTGTGTGTTTATGGTGCATGTCGGCAATGTTGTCTTGGCGGGGGCGGGGCGTGGTGGAGGTGGGGCTTAGGTAGACGATATTATCGGATATCGTGATATTTTTAAAGGCGATAAGATATTTTTGACATATCGCCCAGCCCTATCATCAATTACCCTCGAAGAACCTCTCAGCCGTTTTTCATGACTGGTCATTTCAAAAATCATAACGGGCTCACTGCTTTTTCCTCTCCATTGTAGCTTTTTTTTTTTTTTTTTTTTTTTTCTTTTTTTTTTTTCAGGGGGGGTTTTTTTTTTGATATTTTGATATATTTACAGACCTATTATTGCAGCTCACAGGGTTTCCGCGGGTCTTAAAAAAGTCTTAAAGACTTAAATTTAGTTGTATCAAATTTAAGGCCTTAAGTCTTAAATTGTACAAGAAAGTCTTAATTATGATTTCAAGAGGTCTTAAATTTGGGGACGGAAAGACTAGAATTGCGATATGGCTGAATGTGACGATTAAACTTCAAAAGGCTATGATTTCTTAAAATAAACATGAGCGCTGCACGTTCAAAGTCCGGTGCTGCGCTGCTTTG